TTCAATTATCTATACCTGTTGATTCAAGTTTCCCGAAATATTTAGGTTCCAACAGAACTATCATTCCTGGGAAACAGAAAGTAGTTTCTAGGTGAGAACTTGGATTCCTTTTCAGTTTAGTTGGCTTTCTTTTATGTAAATTGTCGGCTGAAAGTTTTGTTCCATACTATTAAGGTAATTTTAAGTCTTAGATTAACTTTAATAATTGCTATATGTTTTCATTTAATTTTTGGGGATTTTTGGGGAACACTACTTTTTGCTGCATGTGTAGAATAAGTTTATTCTTACCTTGTGACATGAGTTATTTGAGTGATCTAGTAGGCTTCTTTAACAAGAAAATTGAGAGAGTGTAGTATTGGTTTGGAAGATTGAGGCTTCAACAGTGTCTTACCCCATTCTTTTGGAAAATGGGCTCATGATTGTGAACTCAGAGCAGGGATCTAGCCAATGCAATATGATCTTGTACAAGAGTTTGAATTGTGCCAGTTTCTGCAAATATACGATTGGTATTGCATTGAGTTTCATGATAATGTAATTGTTGGTATTTGGATCCTTTGGTAGATTTCTGTGGATTATATTGGTAGCAACAATTGATATGCTCTGCATTTCAAGGTTATTCCATCATCTGTTTTCTTCCTTATGCTATGTCATGGCTGATGAGGGCATCCAAGTCTACTAGATATACCTCCAGTAGTACAGCTGTTTGGGTAACTACTTTGCATTCTGGTTATCCTTTTGAACTACTTATTCTAGTTACATGCATTATTTGCTTTCAAAGCTAGGAATGAACTCCCAAGCAGGCAAAATTATCGCATTGTTTCTGCTTGAACATCAATGGTTGGTTGACCCTATGTACCATATCACTTTGATTCAACCACAATAGAGGAGAGGATAGGGGTTTGGTTTTCAGTTTAACTGTCGGGATGGAATGGAAATATATATTGACTTAATTAAATTTATTTTTAGCCAGAATATTTGAAGATATCCAATTAAATTTCGGCTGCTTTACAGGTGTCCCATGGACTGAAGAGGAACATCGGCTCTTTCTAATTGGCCTCCAGAAATTAGGGAAAGGGGATTGGCGGGGTATAGCCAGAAACTTTGTTATGTCAAGGACACCTACTCAGGTAGCAAGTCACGCCCAGAAGTATTTCATCCGTCAGAGTAATGTTACCCGAAGAAAGAGACGTTCAAGCCTTTTCGACATGGTCCCAGATGATATGGTTTGTCTTGCTTTCTTATGTTGTTTCTGCATTTGCTAAAAGTTAGCAACACAGCATATCATTGAGCACATTAGATTTGGCATGCAACACGGCCTATCTGAACATAGCCACATAATCAATGTAAAGAGGATAAATTTATAATAGTGCTAAAGAGCTTACCTTTGTCTGTTACTGAAGGGATTTTAACAAATAGCATATTAGGATCATTGTCAACGAATGTGCATGTGAATATGAAATGGTGTCACTGTATAGCAGAGGAGATTGAATACATATACAATCTAAATTAGGGGTGACAATTTGGCAGGGTGGTTGGTTTCAGGTTGGGCTATTTGGGAGTTGTTGACTCTTGAGCCAATTTGAGTTTATATTCTGTGCAGGTTCAGATTAACGCTTGTTGTATTTACTTTGCTAACAAATAGCAATCAAATTTGGTTCCAGGTCGGATTTAGGTTCAGTTTGTTTTGGTTTTTATGCCAATTGGGTTCATGCTGTTGAAATTGTGATTGAATTTGGGGTTGGATGTATGGTGTGCCATTTGGATGGAGTAGTTTCTTTATTTGCTAAACTAAATGTACAGTACTTTTTCTCATCAATTCTGGTTTGATTTACTTCCCCATTCTTTTGCAGGCTACAGATACTCCTCCAGTGCCTGAAGACCAAGTTTTGCTGCCTTCTTCACAGGTAGAAGAAGCAGATAATGCAAATTCAATACCTTCGTTAAATCTCTCTCTCAACTCTGAATTTGAGCATGGAGAAGCTGCTTCACAAGAAACAGCTCAAGAAACTGCAGAAACCATGATGGGAACAAGTGAATTCACACCAGTGGTCCATGGTTTCTTCCCACCTTATTTACCTGTTCCTTACCCATTTTGGGCGCTAAATCCAGCCCCTCGTCATGAAGAGAAGGGCGTAGAGGCATCTCAACATCAGGTACTGAAGCCGATTCCGTTGCTTCCCAAGGAACCTGTCAATCTAGATGAACTCGTTGGAATGTCTCAGCTTAGTATAGGAGAGACTGAGACTGGCCATAGAGAGCCCTCACCACTATCCCTGAAACTGCTAGGAGAACCATCGCGACAGTCAGCATTTCATGCAAATGCACCTGTTGGTGGCACGGATTTGAGCAAGGGCAAGACTGGTGCAATTCAAGCGGTTTGAACTGCAGGGAAGGAGGATGGTACTTCTATCTTATTTTGTGTTTTTTTTTTTGCATTACCATAGTTTCTCTAAGGTATTTAGTTTTATTTTTTGATAGTATGAAATTTCTGGTCCTTATAACATAGGTTAAGATCAATTTCTGGGAAATATTTATTCATTCTAACTGTAAACAGCTAGATGTTCTAATAATCAAATGGGTTTTAGCAGTGAATGCCTTGGTCTCATATCAAGTCCTTGTATATTAGCTTTGACTTTCACACACTGTTCTTCTGGGCTAGTGTACGTATGGTTCCTGTGAATGTTAGGTTCCTTTGGCCTTTTGAAACATGGAGAACCACAGTAGCATAATGTGATCTATTAGTGCTTTTATACTTTATATGTGATTGGAAAATGCCTAGTTTGATATTTGAAGAGATTTGGCCAATTCAGTCGGTCATAGTTGCAAAACACCTCGAGCAACTGCAAAATTTTTCATCATTCAGCTGGCGTACCTAATTTTCTGGGAAATATTAAGCATGCAGTTTTGAGTTAAGATAAATTAGACTGTTAAGGGGCTATTATCATGAAGGAATAACATTTTATTTTTTCAACCTTGCGGATGAGGTGTACACGAACTAGCTATCCCAGGCTTGATTAATATGATTCCATTCTCCTGGGTTTGGGTATAAAGCCTATTATTTTGCCAAATACAATTAATGATGTTAAGAGGAACCATGCATTGTGAAGAAATTATGTTTTTATATATCAAATTTGATGCTGGGCATAATATCGAAACAAAAATATGATTGATGAGTCACTGCCCGTATTGCCTCCCAGCCAGATATGTATATTAGGTTGTAGATTTTGATGAGTTTGCTCTTATATGGTAACAAATTAACAATTGCATGTATAAATTTCCCAACACCTGAAAACTTTACCACCTCCAAACTTTTCAATTAAGATGCGTGTAAATAATAGGGAAAAAGATGAAAAGGGAGTGGGTCATTCTCTTCTCGAACATTCTTGGCGTGAACCAAAAAGAAGAAGAAGAGGAAGATAGGTGTAGAGTTGCAATATACATTAGGCAATGGTGTCAACAGAGACGACAAAATAAATAAAAGAATCCTTCTTTTCTTTTTTGTGTTATTAATATTTGTTGTCACGTACATTGACATTAACTTATAAATTACTCTATACAATTAAAATTAAAAACTATTTTTTAACGAAATTCATTCAATACAATTAATTTTTTTATTTATAATAAATCTTATAAATATTTAGAATAAAAAATAATTTTAATGAAAATCATTCAGTACAATTAAAATTATTATTTGCAAATTGAATAAAATTTATTAATTACATTTAAAATAACTTAAAAGATAAACTAGATAACACCGTTGTCAAGTCCAAATACATTAATATTTAAGTATAAGTTGATAAGTCGACCCCCAGCCGCCTCAACCTTTTGATCAAATGTTAGCCTTTGAGGGTTGGACTCTTTCGGCCAATATTAAAATATCTTAATTGAGCTTTTAGCTTAAGTACGTAGCGGTGTTTGCCGAACAGCAATTACCCATATTTATCATAATTTTCCATCACCTATTTGGTAAATGAATACGTGCAACATGTGACCAATATTAAACATTTATTATCTAATTTTTCTTAATTAAATTGTGTATATGAGCATGCCTATACTTTCCCATCACATGTGTAACTATATAGGTATTGTGGCACATGTTGTAATAAAAATCAGATAAAAAGAAAAAAGTTAAAGGGAAGATTAAGATTTAATTAACAACTGAATATCACTAGCAAAAGTTACAATCTCATCAGATTAAATGACACGTACTTAAATTATTGTTGTATCTTGATTATTTAATTCAATTATTTTTGCATATATTTTTAATTTAAAGAATTAATTTGAAGTTTTTATCTCAATATAAAAAATATTATTATTATTATTATTATTTAAAGAAATTAATACCTCTCTGGAGCTAAATTTTGACTAAAAGCATTAATTTGTTTTTCTTATCTAATTGATTTAATTAGTGAACTGAAATCCCTCATATATTTTTGTGGGCCAAATTGATTTGTCTTTTTCCCTCTGTCCCTGAAGAAGGTGAGAGACCTAACAAATCAATAAATGAAATCTACAAAGGACTAGTCATTCACTTCACCAATACTGAAAGGGCATTAGCATCCTGTTTCTACCAAAACCCTTGTAGCTTAAAAGTGGAAATTTAATTGAAATATATGATGAGTTTTGACTTGAAATCCTGATCACCGATGGCAACACGGGGCATGCTGGCCTGATCGAAGGCGTTTTGTACATCGGCCTACTGTACACTAGCTTGGCCCCTATTAAATCATTCTACAAATGTGGCAGTCAATACTGGAAAAGGGCCGTGCGGGCTGAGGTGTTAGAACCAGAGCCAGTCTAATGCCCTGTAGGCTGCTGCACACCCTGAAATTGTCTCACCAATTGGAACCTGCCACTGGAGAAAACGCACAATATCTCGTATTGCTTGGCAACGAATAATTGGAAGGTGTCTTGACATTTACTTACATGACTGTGACATTAACCATCTGCCATGCAACGTAGAGAGCGTCTGCCATGTACATTCATAGCTCTTTCCACGCGTTGCCACAGACCCTTCATAGTTAGCCCCCGGCCCTTTTCCCCAATATCACCCCTAACCGTCGTTTCTTAAACCTGTTACTCTCTGTTTCTCTCTCGTTTTTTGTCTTAATCTCTTAAATGGCAAACGTATCCACCGGCAGTGAACAAACCTTCCGCAAAGACACCACCGCCGTCGTCGAGTCCAATCCAAAACCAATGGATTCCGACGCCAATTCCACCACCATTATCACATATACCCATACCAAAGGTGTTGAGACTGAAAACACTGCTGCTATTATTACAGCGTCAGACAGCTCTGATACCAACGGTAACGAAGTCATTTCTGTTCTGGAAGGCAACAGGGCTGCAAAATGCGTTGGGAGAAGCAACAAAGGAGTTTCGTGGGGATACTGCGTGGAGCAAGGAAGGCGGTCGACAATGGAGGATGCTGCTGCAGTTCATCCAGGGATTATGCAGGTTTGTTGCAAGGATGTTGGTGGGTGTACGGCACCCGAGTGTAAATACGCCATGGAGAAATCGCCGGTGCATTATTTTGGCATATTTGACGGGCATGGAGGTGACCAGGTAACTCATCTCCTGACAAAATGAAATCTTTCTTTTTTATTTTTTATTTTTATAAAATGCGTGCTTCTTTCATTTGATGATTAAAGCAGAAGGTTTGGGTTTATTACTTCTACTTTCTTTATGTATTCATTGTTTTGTCGTATCGGTATGCTAGGATAATATGATGTGGCTTGATACGATATAATATATAGTTTTATTTATTTATATATATGCCGTGCATTTAAGAATAAGAGTGTAGAAAAATTCATACTATATTCCTTTTAGGATAAAAAAATTCCTCACAATATATAAATTAAACTATAGTATAATGCATAGACTTCATGGATGCTCACAATATATATTTATCTGGGTCTTTTTGTTGGGTTTATTTTCTATTTTTCAATGGTAGCTTCAACAAAGTATTCTACAAGTTCATTACTAAGTGGATGCTTGAAGAAGATAATTAGTCCCATGAAAGCAAGCAATGTTTTAAACTCTTCTTTCAATGGTTTTAACCTTCATTTTTTTATCATTTGTAAATCACTTTTTTATCATGTTAAAAGTTACAAAATGTGGGAAATTTCACCCAAAAGATTTGCACGAGAAAAGTAGAATGATCGCTACTTTATATCTTTCCCTCCTTCACCCTTTATGCTTGCCTACTGAAGTGGCTACCTCTTTGTCCATTTTCAATCGACAATCCCAAATAAAGTCGAAATTGTTTCTCACCAACTCAACCAATTAGTCAATTAATTAGGCCAGCATGTGACCAAAAACAAAAAATTCGGCCAGCCAAGGTGATCTGAAACGTGGCCTTTTGGGCCACCGAGCTGTCAGCTAAACCCACTGACAGAGAGGCACCCTCGTTGACACGTGGGTTCCGAACCAGACAAAATAGGGTAGCGTCTTTTGTCCTCCAGAGGAATCGCGCTTTTGGGTCGTCTAATTACCTGGGGCCCAGCAAGAAGCACCATCAAAAAATTTTAGTCGGGGGCAGTTTGAGGGGTGGGGCCCAAGCTTGCCATGAGTGGGTGAAAGACGACCAGTCGTTTTTGGTCTCTTTCCTCTGTTTTGGGGAAGGTGATGACCTTACGCGATCTGTCAGCACGTGGTGGTGCGCAGCCTGTCTGTAGATTTGGCGGCGTTAGAAATTGGAACAGTTGCATGCATGCCTACAGCCACGTGCGGCCCACTTGTCACAGTTATTGAAGGCCCAAACCAAAGTCAAAATTGCCTTTAGAGCATGGTCGGTATGCCATTAGCTCACCCTCTAGTCCTATGTATTATTTCTTTCTTTATTTGGTTGGCAAATGTATCAAAGCATAGTTATTCTTTTTTAATAGTTAATTAATTTCCAAAATTTTCCAAAATCAAGATTTTAACTAATCTTAAGCTCTCATGGTATTTATTATTCCATAATTGAGAGAGAATAGTCTTTAAAATTGATGAGACTAAAATATCTTTTTATAAAAATTTTAAAATTATTAATATTTTAATAATAATAATGTTTAAATTATAAATAATATCTTAAAATAAAAATTAAAAAATAAAAATAAAAACAGATAAAAATAGAAAAATACACTAATATTTTAATAATAAATTATTCAAGTTTTAATATTTTAATAATAAAATAATTTTAAAATTTTAATGAAAATAAAAGTTAAATGATTAAAAAAGAACAAATTCATTTATTTTTGTCATTTGGTATAAATTTTATTGAATTATATAAAGGGTATTTTTGTTTTTTCAAAAAATAAATCTTATTATAATAAAAAGTCTAAAATTTTAATTATATATTATAAAAAATTAATATTTTAAATTTAAAAATTAATTAAAATTATTAATATTTTAATCATAATAATATTTAAATTATAAATAAAATAATACTATTCTAATTTTTAATGATTAAATTATAAATAAAATATTAATATGCTAATTTGTAATGATTAAATTATTAATTATTACTATTTTAAATAAATAATAAATTATTAATTTTTTTTTAAAGTGGAGTTTATTGATTAATCAAACGTACAGTACAGACTCCCATCACATCATTTAGGAATAGACAGAATACCTTTTCTAGTAGAGAGTCATACAAAGTAATATAAGAATTTAACTTAAATCCTAGATTAGTCATAAAATTGACAATTTTTTTCCCTTCACTATATATATGACTTATACTAACTCTCAATACCTACTTAACAAGCCTTTAATTGCTCTAAGTACATCTAGGTTAGAGCAAGGATGAGCACGGTGACAACCAATCACCTGTAGCATTGCCTTATTATGAATTTGTAATTTAACTTTGCGAAAGCCTCGTTCCCAAGCTAGCTGGAGACCTTTGTAGACCCCCCACAACTCCGCACGGTAGGCTGAACTTGTCTCTAACTTGCATGCATATCCCACTAGCCAATTACCATGTGTGTCTTTCAAAACTCCTCCAGCAGAAGCAGTCCTTATTGCACTCTTGTAGGCTCCATCCGAATTCACTGCAATCCATTCTTCTGGTGGTGGTGTCCATCCCACTAAGATTTCTTCTTGTCGACTCAATCCCCCACTTGGCAAGGGAAGGGTTGTCCATGTGTTATAAGTATCCACAGCCATGCTTTTGATTTTACTCAACTGGCCTTCAATGGAGAGTTCACAACCTTCAAATATAAACAAGTTTCGCCATTTCCAAATGTACCAGCAAACTATACCAAAAACAATGTTTCAGGTGGCATCAAATCTGTAGAGATGCTGAAGACTAAGGTTCTTAGACAGCCAATTGAGTAATGGTGCTTGGAAGAATTCATTAATACCCATTTGAGGTAATATACGCCTCCAAAGAGCCTCTGCTACAGGACAATCTCGAAGCAAATGAAGACATGTTTCCTCAACACCATGACAATGAAGACATGACGCATATGATGAAAGCTTGCGTCTAACTCTTTCTGCATTTGTCAAGATGCGTTTATGCAAATAAAGAAATAAGAAAAAGCAAATTCTATGAGGACCTCTAATCCCAAGCCAAGTTCCACATATTTTTGTTCTTTACTCGACTAGAAACAACAGAACTCCCTAAATGTTCATATGTTGAAGAAATAGTAAAATATCCAGAAGGAGAAAGAGCCCAGTAAGGCATATCTGGTGAAGCCGATAAGGTGGGAGGAATTATGTAAAGGATTTGATTCACCACTTCAGTTGGTAAGATAGCTGCTAACCTCTCCTTGTCCAAATCACCATTAGGCATGATATAATCCCTTACCCGTGCACTTAAATTTAACATGAAATTCGTTTCTGCTACAAAATTAATCAATAGTACTTCACCTATCCAAATATCGGTTCAGAACTTAACGAGAGCGTCGTCCCTAATTGACCATCTTACATGTTTGATAAATTCGCCTCATAATTTACTCATTGATCTCCATACGTTTGAGCACCCACTACGTATAGGATCATTTGAGTAACTTGTTCTGCTAAAATTATATTTGTTCACAAGAACCTGTACCCAAAGTGCATCAGGTTTAGAAAGCAATCCCCAACATAATTTAGAATAAAAGTGTCGTTCATCAAAGATAATCTTCAAATGCCCATCCTTCCTTATGACTTAGGTTTGCAAAGTGTATTCCACTTAAACAAGTTTACCTTCCTGTCTTAACTTTCACCATGCCACAAAAAATTTCTACACAAGCGCTCTATTTTTTAACAAATTTCTAATAAGATAGAAATTGTTTGCATTATGTATAGTGGAATACTCGAAAATACTGATTTGACAAAAGTTAAACGACCTGCATAAGATAAGGATGATGCCTTCCATCCACTCAGTCTGCCTTTAACTTTATCAATAAGATACTTGTAAGCGTTAACACTTTTTTTACCTTTAAACAAAGGAACTCCAAGATAGTTGCCCACATTTTCAGCATAAGAAAAGCTAGAACTAGCCGCTAAGTGATTAATTACTTCTCTAGATACATTCTATGAACAAAAAAAAGTTGATTTTGAAATGCTCACCTTCGCTCCTAAGCAGGCACAGAAATCTTCCAAAACATCTTTTATTACCTCTATCTGACCTTCTGAGGCCTCTGTGAAGAGTATGAGGTCATCGGCAAAAAATAAGTGAGATAAGACTGGTCCCTGTCTACAGAAACTAATTGGTTTCCACACTTTTTGATCGACAGCTTGCTTGATACCATGAGCCAGTCGTTCTATGCACAACACAAACAAATACGGAGCTAGTGGATCTCCTTGTCGCGCTCCTCTCGAAATGGAGAATTTATCTAAGTGCCTCCCATTCCATAATATTTGAGAGCTACTGTTGTTCCAACTCCTGATAAGAATATCAATGATGGTGCTTGGGATTCTAGCTTCCACGAGTGAATCATGGATGAATTCCCACCTCAATCTATCGTAGGCCTTCTCTAGATCAATCTGAATCATCATCCAGCCCCTCCGTCCTTGTTTTTTCTTAAAGGAGTGCACTACCTCCTGAGCCACGATTATATTGTCGACAATATGTCTCCTAGGAATAAAACTAGCTTGCGGTTCCTCTATTAATAAGCTCATATACGGTTTTCATCTATTGGCTATCACTTTCATTAACACTTTGAAAGCAACTGGCAATAAGCTAATAGTCTAAACTGTGATATGTGCTCGGGAGTCCCAATTTTGGGTATCAAAACAATCAAGGAATTACACATTTTATGACCAATCTCTACGCCATTAAAAACATCCTGTATATATTCCACTAATTTTTGTCCCACCACCTTCCACTATGATTGAAAAAATAAGGTAGGAAAACCATCCAAACCTGGTGCTTTAAGGGGTTTCATCTCGAACAGTGCTTCTCTTACTTCCTTCTTATCAATTGGATGTCTAATAATTCATGAGCTTCTGTAGGTAACATGGGGAATTTATTTCGAATAGGGTATGCTGGGAGGTCATTGCCTTCCTTATAATATAACCTTTGAAAAAAGTCCACAACATGCAGCTATAGTTGCCTTTGATCATCACACCATTCATCATTTAAGATTTTGAGGTGT